TTTGTATGGAAGACCGTGTCGTTCCCCTGTATGTTGGGCTGAAGTCGGGGATAGGGCATTGTTGGGTCCTGAAATTGTGCAATTAACAACTGAGAAGGTTAAAATTATCCGGGAGAGGTTAAAAACGGCACAAAGCAGGCAGAAGAGCTATGCAGATAACAGACGAAGGGATTTGGAATTTGAAGTGGGTAATTATGTGTTCGTGAAAGTCACCCCGTTAAAGGGACATTCGAGGTTTGGGAAGAAGGGTAAATTAACGCCCCGGTATGTTGGCCCTTTCCAAATTCTAGAAAGAGTGGGTTTGGTAGCTTACCGAGTGGCTCTTCCGCCAAGTATGAGTCAAATACATAATGTGTTCCATGTTTCTATGCTTCGAGGATACCTATCAGATCTATCTCATGTCATAGACCATCACCAACTTGTGCTAGATGATAAGTTAAGCTATGAAGAAAGACCACTTCGAATTTTGGAGCGACAAGTAAAGCAATTGCGCAATCGGGAAATTCCAATGGTAAAGGTAGAGTGGCAAGAACATTATGGCACTGAAGCTACTTGGGAAAAAGAGGAGGATATGCAGCAACAGTACCCATATCTGTTTCCGTTTTGAGGTAAAAGTAACTTTGAGGGACCAAACTTTTTTTTAGGGGGGGAGAGTGTAACAACCCGACCCTCATATATGCTTGTGATATATGTCCGTCCTTTATTCCGTGTTGTTAAATGTCTAAGATGAAACCGTACAAGAAAATAAGTTCAAGTAACTATGTTGTAATGCCTTGTGGAATGAATTGTATCTGTTAGAAAAGAAATGTATCTGTTGCTCCTAGAACGATCGAGTGGAAATTGAGGGCCCCAGCGGCTTAATAAGTCAAAATTGTTCACATATTTGGAACCAGCATAATTTTTAGGTAATATTAAGCACTTCTGTGAAATTTCAATTTTCGGATGTGTAAACGATTGATTTTTGTCTCATTCTCTCTTCATGGAAATATAAGAGTGTTCTTGGTCATTTGATAAGCTAAGGAAGCATAACTCTAAGCTTAGGAATTGAAGGGGTAGAGGGAGAAGATCATCAAGAAGGTTGAGATTTGGGCTAAGGTATGTAAATGTTTGTCTAATTTGCATCTACAACCCTTCTTGTCATAATTTATGTGAAGATGTTTCTATAATCATGTACCTAAGAGTTGGGATTGGAGTGATGTGAGTATGAGGGGTAGTAATTAGCAAGATGATCTTACCCTGCATGTTTTGCCTATTGAAATATTCATGAGAAACTCTACTCTATTTCTTCAATTGATTTGTTTGAATTCAAGTATGTGGCAAGATTTTTGTTATGAGTTGTGATGTGAGAACAAGTAGGAATCTTGTGAATTGGAGTAATTTAAGTTGTGGATTCATGATTGATTTTGTTTACTCAAATGAAAGATGTAATTTGATCCTTGTTCACATGTAATTACATGCTTTGAGCTTCTATATTGGTAAATTAAAGCTAGATTTTTTAGGCCTAAACATGTCTATAAGAAGAAGAAAATTGTGCAAAATTTCAGACCTTTAGTGCAGAATCGCCGCACGTGCGGGGCCTAAGGCCGCACGTGCGGGAACCTCAGCCGCACGTGCGGGAGTCACTGCCGCACGTGCGGGAAAATGGCAAAATTCTGGGCTTCAACACTGCAAAAAAAGCACGTGCAGGGCCTCAATGCCGCACGTGCAGGAGGTGTGCCGCACGTGCGGGAGATCCTAGCCGCACGTGCGGCTCCAGGCAGAAAAGTTGGGATGCTCCGTTTTGCGTGTTGGGTCCTCTAATGTGGTCTAAACCTGCAATTTATATTGTTTGAATGTTCGTTAATTTGATCAAAGTAAGTGAACCGAATATTGATTTAACAAGGATAAAAAGGGACTAATGTGATTTTTCATGTGTGTAGGAAACGCCTCAAAAGGAAGTGCACCGACACAACACAGTGAGTAATAGTACTTCAATGTACCCCTACTCGGTATTTATTATTAATGACGTTGTGACCTTATAGAAAGTATTATCGTATTATATATTGAGGTTATATCTTGACGTTACGAATGTTACTACTAAACTTGTGATGGCATGAAATGATATATTTGCCATAAGTGATTGTTACGAAATTGGGAAAACATTGAAAAAGGTTGTGAAGTTGTACACATCTCATATGAAAGCTTGTGACTAATGGAATGTATCAAGGCAATTATGAATTGTGAACCAATGTGGCTTAGTGCCATTTGTGAACCAATGTGGCTTAGTGCCATTTGTGAGCAAATGTGGCTAAGAGCCCTAATGTGAAACTACGTGACCAAGGGTTAATTGTGAATTGTGAACCAATGTGGCCAAGGGCCATTTGTGAACAATGAAATTACGAAGCCAAGGGCCGATGTGTAAAATATGAATGACACTATTGTGAGCTTGTGAATTAAACAGAACCAAAGGTTTATGTGAAGGATTGTAAATTGTGAACCCAAGGACTCTTTCCGAATGTGTGAAGTTCTTAGGCCAGGGGCCACATTATGACAAGTATAAACCGATTATGTTGTCCCAACAGGCCGTATAGAGACAGACTAATTACATGATTTCAGCATTAAATATGTTTATGCGGATGCTAGTACTATTATTCACTGAGCTTGGCTCACCCTATGTTATGTCTGTTTCTGTAGGTAATCAACCAGGAGGTCGATCTTAGCTCGGCATCGTCATACTTTTGTCAGCCTAGGCACAGCCAAGCTTGGAGGCGGGACCCTACTTTTGTGGAGTTATCTGATGATGACTCACGCTTTTGTTATTGGCTTAAGTTGATTGTTATCTACCCCATCTCGGGGTTAGTTCTGTATATGCCTGTAAATAACTAACTCTTAAGTGTATTTTGGCTTTTGATGTACTTGTCCTGTGAAATGCTTTGATCCTGGCATAACTTAGTAGCTCAATGGATGCCATACTTTCTGTTTTTTTTTCAATCATGTTTTATAGCTTCCGGGCAGGCCCCTCTATGGAACCAGGTTAAGTGTCATCTTCTGTTCAGGTCATGCCCAAACTTTTAGGGGCAAGTTAGGGGCGTGACAAAAAATCTTATTTTTTTATCAACTTTTGAAACTCCGACAACATACGAAAAGAGAAAGAACGAGACATGTGAAAGGTGATATGAAAGTTAGGCCGTGAGATGAATCCAACGACGTAAAAATGAGACAATACAAAATTTTGAAAAAGAAGATAGAAGGGCTTGAAATAATGGTTGGTGGTGGTGGTTTGATGATAGGAGAGGGTGGGTCTACATCTTTCTTTTGAAATTTGAGGCCAAAAATTTTTTTTTTTTTTCAAACAATTTTTGTTTCAAATATGACAACAGGGACAAAATCAAAACAATTTCAAAATTTTGGGGGTAAAATTGAAATTATTCGAAATCTGGGATGTAAAAGTATAGGGATAAAAATAAAATTTTCTCTAAAGTTTAATGATTGATTTGTTTTAATTATAAGGATATGGCTAATGAAATATATTGGTGAGAAGTTATAAATTATTGTTATTTTTATTTTTATTTTTTTTTTCATTGTGAACCTTATTTTTTTTCCGGTTCCGATAGGTAGCTCGAATTTGGAGGCTCGAATTTGGCTCAAATTCGGAGAAGAAGAAGAAAAGAAGAAGAAGAAGAAGGAAGAAGAAGAATGAGAAAAGGAGGAGGAGGAGGAGGAGGAGGAAGGAGGACTGGAGGGGGCATAATCACAGGGGGAGGAGGAGGCAGAGGCGGAGGCGGGGCCGGAGACGACGGCGGTGGTGCTGCGACGATCGCTGGTGCTGCGACGATCGGCGGCGGCGAGGCGACGGCGGTGGTGCTGCGACGATCTCCTCTCCTCCTCTCTCTTTTCTCCTTCTCTCCTCCTCTTTCTCTTCTCCTCTCTTCTTCCTCTACTCTTCTCCTGTGTTCAACGAAGAAGAAGAAGAAAAGAAAGAAAGAAAAGGAAGAGAAAGAAAAGGCAGGAAAAAAAAAATAATAATATTCGAAACCCAAAACGACGTCGTTTTGGGTTTCGAGCTGAATTCGGGCCACCAAATTCGAGCTACGAGTCATTTTCCTTTTTTTTCGATCTCTACTTTATCACTTTCTCACGCACTACTATCAATCTCTGCCATCCGTTGTCAAAAAAGTCTCTGAAAAATTGGCCAGTGTCGAAAAAGTTGTCAACAACGAATAAATGGACAGATAAGTCACCAGATAGGGATATTATGGTCTTTCAATGTGTGGATCTCAAATGAATGATCAAATACTCACAAAGGTGCGGATCTCACACTCATGTAAATATTGTGTATAATATTTAATAATTCATCTAGCCTTTTTTTTTAAATTGATATTGTCCTTGTAGATAATAATAAATAATAAAAAAAAAAGAAATTGGGATAATTGCCTCAAAAATTTGAAAATTAAACTTGTAGCCTGAGTACGATTTTTTGTATTCCAATTTAGATAATGAAAGCTTCTCTCACTTACACCTATTTTATTTCTAATAGTTTTAAAACACAGGAAGAAATTCACCTGCAAGGTACATGCACTGCTATATATATATATATATATATATATATATATATATTAATTTTGTTAAATTTTCAAATCAAATTTATAATATATATTAATTTTGTTAAATTTTTAAATCAAACTTAAATAATTTATTAGTTTATTCAACTCGGTTTATTTATGTATGTATGCACATTCAAAGTGTCGATGTATAGTGCTAGCAGATGATTGGCTTGTTTTTTGGTCTCAACCTAGTTGGAATCGTCTAATTTGCTTTGATGCTTTGGCACTCGCCTCCCTTTATTGATGTTCATCTTTGTATTCTGTACATTTGATTTGCATTAATAAATTTTTTTTGCTGATAAAAAAAAAAAAGTGTCAATGTATATTACATTAACATTAATTGTGTCATATCTTTTGGATAGTAGGGCCTAAAAGGAACAAAATAGTGAACCTCTTACAAAAAAGTGAAAGGGAAAAATGCAAAAATGTATTATAAAGCTGACTCTTAAGGCCACACTTACAACGTTTTATGAAATACAAAAATTCAAGTTCCTAAAAGTGCCTAAAAAAAATTTCATCAATGGAACATAAGTCAAAGAAAATAAGAACAATGACTCGCACAAGGCATAGTCAATAGTAGTGGTTAATTATTACTATTAAATAACTTAAATGTCATCAATTCTTTATAGATTTGCACCAGTCTTTCTCATCTTCACTCCTAGATTACTTGTGGCTTCAGAAGCCTTTTCTTTGGCAGCCTCATACTTCTCCTTCGCCTGATCAGTCATGGTTTCCTTGGCTGACATGTATGTATCACCAATAGTGTCTTTAGCATCATCGTAGGCACTCCCATTGAATCTTCGCCATCATTGACCCTATCTGTAGCCATTCTTATGGTTTGATCTGCCCTATCAGAAGCATAGTTGTATGCCTCAGAGGCTCTATCTCTTCCATGTGACGTTGCTCCATCCACCATCTCTTTGGCATCACCAACCATATCTGAAGCCGTATTCTTGGCTCGATCCGCCTTTTCAGATGCGAAGGTGTAGGCATCAGAGGCTTTATTTCTCCCGCGTGACATTGCTCCAGCCATCGTCTCTTTGGCATCCCCAGCCATGTCTGAGGCCATGTTCTTGGCTTGATCTGCCTTCTCAGATGCTATGGTGTAGGCATCAGAAGCTCTATCTCTTATATGTGGCATTGCTCCAATCATTGTCTCTTTGGCATTTCCAGCCATGTCCGAGGCCCCATTCTTGGCTTCATCTGCCTTCTCATACGCATATGCGTAGGCATCAGAGGCTGTATCTCTCCCTCGTGACATCGCGTTATCCATCGTCTCTTTGGCACCTCCAGCTATGTCTGAGGTCATATCTATGGGTCGAGTTGCCTTCTCATATGCAGAGGTGTAAGCATCAGAAGCCCTATCTTTTCCATGTAACATTGCTCTAGCTATTGTCTCTTTGGCATCACCAGCCTTATTTGAAGCCATATTCAAGGCTTGATCCCCCTTTTCAAAAGCAAAATCGCAGGCATCAGATGCTTTAGCTTTCCCGTGCGACATTGTTTCTACCATCGTGTCTTTGGCATCACTGGCCATATCAGACGCCATGTTCGTGGCTTGACCTAACTTCTCAGAAGCAAAATTCTTTGCTTGACCCATTTTCTCTGAAGCCAAGTTGGTTGCGTCACCAGTCTTTTGAGAAGCATATTTTGATGTTTCTGCACACCAAAATAAATAAATAAATAAAATGTAACTGTTACAAATGGGACTCTAATATTATAAAATTCGACATTATAAGACAAGATAAAAAGAAAAAGATAATCACCAGACGCAGCAGAATTCATTGTCTCTGTGGTTTTTGACGCAGCATCCCCAGCTTTATCCATCATCCTTTGACCTGACTCTTTTGCGTCTTCTTGGTTGAATCCAAGTCCCCTGAAAGCATCCTTGGTCTCAGATGATCGCCAACTATAGAGTTACTAAGACTAAACTCAAATGTAACAAAAAAAATTGGTTAACAGAATTGCACATGTTGCATTTTATTTTAGTTGGTAGGTAGTTAACAGTTCCATGAGTGTGTCTCTTCTACATTTGCATCCCCCTTGAGACAAGTATAACTAAATTAGGGTTTACAATTATCACCAAATTTGCATTTAGTTAAAACATGATAATACTGGTTACAACAACCTTTGGCCTTTAAATATAAAGCAAAATATTAAAATTTTCCATATGCCAACATAATTTTCCTGTACTAGAATATCGCCCCCCCACCCAAACACGTTCCCTTTTTATCCTCGTCTTTTTTCAAATTGAAATATGCTCCACAATAAGTTTGAATGAGCTTTAATTTTTTTTTTTATTACAATTTATCACAGTAAAATGAAATATAATAAATAAATAGTTGGCTTATTTACATGAAGATTTCCTAAATTATTAAGGATCATTTTGAGATATATTATTTTGCCGTTAAATTACAAAAGTGTATAAATGGACCCTCTAAATTATTAAAAAATATACAAATTGAAACACTTGATAGAATGGGTCAAAGTGAAACATACCAATGGTTTAAAGAGTCATTTGTACGCTTTTATAGCTTAGAAAGTAAAGTGATACTTTTCAATAGTTTAGAGAATTAATTTGTAAGTTTTTATAGTATAGGGAATCAAAATAATATTTTTTTAATAATTTAGGTGCTCCATGTAAATAATCCAAATAGCTATATAACATAAATTACATGGATAATATTAGGTACCATGAAAAAAAATATTATGAAATGATTTATGAAAATTTTTTATCCTTTAATTAGTATAGTATTTTATATTGTGTGTATAATCCAAAAGTGCAAAATTCCCATAAAATTTTTCATGATATTTCTTAATGATGCCTATTCTTACTCAAATTACAATTACATATAGACTCCCATAGTGGATGAAAAATTATCTAACAAATATTAAGGAAATAAACAAAGACTCTTCACCTCCTGTGAAAGGGAGACACCTCTGTTCTATTGTTGATTATTCGGTTGTCCGGAGTATGACTACATGGTACTCTATAATATTATAATTGATAGTTAATGTGAAGTATTAATTATTTATGTTAGGTGATTGAGAAATATAATGAAACATAATAATTGGTGATTGGTGTGACTACAGGAACTATTATATAATTTTCCATTCAACACACTCTTAACCGTTCCATTGGTCAACACACTCTTTATTGTCGAGAAGTTATTTCGTGATCTTAAGACATGATTAGGTGATGTTTTAAGATTGTTGTGATTGGTAGAAGAGTAGGGCCCTCAATTTTGTGTTGGGGCATAGGGAACATTAGAAGACTTGACAATTACTGATTGGTTAGAAGTAAGGACACGTGTACCCTGGATATTTAATAATTTTTTCTAAATCAGTAAGAAATTCAATTTATGTATTAGATAGAAATTTTTGAATTTTTGAATTTCAAGGCCCGTTTGTTTTCAGAGGTAGAATGGAAGGGATTCATAGTGAGGGTATTGATAGTGAGAGGATTAATAGTGAGGAATTGTTAAATTATTTTTATATAAAATAATAAAATAAATAAAAAATATAAAAAATTAAACATTAATATTTTTTAAAAAAATTCTCAATATATAAAAAATAAAAAAAATAAACCCCCCACCCAAACACGTTCCCTTTTTATCCTCGTCTTTTTTCAAATTGAAATATGCTCCACAATAAGTTTGAATGAGCTTTAATTTTTTTTTTTATTACAATTTATCACAGTAAAATGAAATATAATAAATAAATAGTTGGCTTATTTACATGAAGATTTCCTAAATTATTAAGAAGTATCATTTTGAGATATATTATTTTGCCCCTTAAATTACAAAAGTGCATAAATGGACCCTCTAAATTATTAAAAAATATACAAATTGGATCACTTGATAGAAGGGGTCAAAGTGAAACATACCAATGGTTTAAGGAGTCATTTGTACGCTTTTATAGCTTAGAGAGTAAAGCGATACTTTTCAATAGTCTAGAGGATTAATTTATAAGTTTTATAGTATAGGAAATCAAAATAATATTTTTTTAATAATTTAGGTGCTCCATGTAAATAATCCAAATAGCTATATAACATAAATCACATGAATAATATTAGGTATCATGAAAAAAAATATTATGAAATGATTTATGAAAATTTTTCATCCTTTAATTAGTATGTAATATTTTATATAGTGTGTATAATCCAAGGGTGCAAAATTCTCATAAAATTTTTCATGATATTTCTTTAATGATGCCTATCCTTACTCAAATTACAATTACATAGAGACTCCCATAGTGGATGAAAAATTATTTAACAAATATTAAGGAAATAAACAAAGACTCTTCACCTCCTATGAAAGGGAGACACCTCTGCTCTATTGTTGATTATTCGGTTGTCCGGAGTATAACTACATGATACTCTATAATATTATAATTGGTAGTTAATGTAAAGTATTAATTATTTGTATTGGATGATTGGAAAGTATAATGGAACATAATAATTGGTGATTGGTGATTGGTGTGACTAACTATTATATAATTTTCCATTCAACACACTCTTAACCGTTCCATTGGTCAACACACTCTTAATTATCGAGAAGTTATTTGGTGATCTTAAGACATGATTAGGTGATGTTTTAAGATTGTTGTGATTGGTAGAAGAGTAGGGCCCTCAATTTTGTGTTGGGGCATAGGGAACATTAGAAGACTTGACAATTAGTTATTGGTTGGGAGTAAGGGCACGTGTATTCTGGATATTTAATAATTTTTTCTAAATCAGTAAGAAATTCAATTTATGTATTAGATAGAAATTTTTGAATTTTTGAATTTCAGGACCCGTTTGTTTTCAGAGGTAGAATGGAAGGGATTCATAGTAAGGGGATTGATAGTGAGAGGATTAATAGTGAGAAATTGTTAAATTATTTTTATATAAAATAATAAAACAAATAAAAAATTAAACATTAATATTTTTAAAAAAATTCTCAATATACAAAAAATAAAAAAAATAAAAAATTTTTTAATCTCCTCACTATTTTTCTAATACCATCTCTACATCTTCCTTCCCAATCCCCCTTCCAAGGCCTTTACTAATACCAAGGGATTAGAAGTCCCCTCCCCATCTCTAAAAACAAACACCCCATATAGTAGTCTCACCTTACTATCAATCACAATTCCCTCCCTATAACCCCAAACAAACGAGGTCTCATTTTATCACACGTGTACCCTAGAATTTTATGTCATTTTCGGTGTTGAAAATTTTATATCTTGTGTGTATATGTAAGCTTACTGGGAGACTTTTCCGACAGCCCAACCAGTCCAAGAATCAGCCTTCTCCCCAGCGTCTTGCAAGGTCTCTGCAGTTCTCTGCTTCGCTTCTTCAGCTCTCAACTTCATGTTCTCCGCCGCCAGATTCATCCTCTCATTCGCATTGCCCATTGTTTCCTCAACACGCCAACACCAGCACACCTCCATTGACATCGCAGCAACAACCCACATTATCAATAGCTCCCTTCTCTTTCCCATCTCTCTACTATACTATACTATCTTACTCTCTCTGTCTCTCTGTCTCTCTCTCTACAACAAAATTGAAAACTTGTATTCTAAAGTAGTATAGAAATTGAACAGCCTCTACTGGGGATGTAGATGTGGTTTTGTTGGATTGGATGGATAAGAGTGTGTCGGAGAAAACGTGAAAGAAGGAATAGGAACCGTTGTAGAGGGAGCGAGACTGGTCTTTTAACATGGAAGGGAGTCATGAGGGGGTATAAGGCAACGTGGCGGTTTCTCAGGAATTTCATGAGTGTTGTTGGTCTCTATTTCTTTTCTCATCTCACGATCCAAACAGAATGTAAATGCCACATCTTCATGAAAATGGCCAATTGGTGTTGTGTGTTGGTTGTGTTTTGATTGGGCACAATTTTGCGGGTGACCTCTGTTGCCTACGGGCATCTCTCCTCACCAGAGAACATAGGAGAGAGAAACAAATCTGTGGTGTTTTATATATATAAATAGAGAGAAAGAGAGAGCGTTTCTATTTTCACGCATCTTATTTTATCTCCAATAATGCTAGGTATTATGAAAGAAGTATCATGAAAAGTTTTCATAAAAATTCTCTATCCTTAGATTAGTTTATAGTATTTGTAGTGTTTTATTGTATATTATACAATCACTCTTAGATTAGTTTCATAAACATTTTCATAATATTTATTTCATGATGCGTAACATTACTCTTTTATCTCAATTCACCTACTTTGATAGTTCAAATATCAATTTTTAAACAAAAACCAACTATGCTTTAATTTTAACCTTTTTTGTTCAAAAATAATTATAACAGTAAATAGAAATGGGACCTAAAATATAGTGTAAAATGTGTTGAAATTTTAATAAAAATAAAAATCATTATTTCTACTTATTTTGTTTGACCACTTAAAGATTTATTATTATATTTTAATTCTTATAAGTTTCTTACATTACATCTATACATATACCTATACGAGTTGAGAAGAAAAATATAAAGATCTTATACACTTTTGTGGAGATATATTTTTTGAGTACTAACACGTGGCCAAGGTGACGCCAACGTGTTAGCTGAGGTGCCACATGTCTTGGTTATGACGCCGATATGATCTCGTTTAGGCCGAGGTTATCTCCGAAGATATCGGAATCTGAGATAAACGGATAAGGCACAAGAGTCTTACAATGAGGAAGGACTTTAGCATGGATAAGGATAACACTCTTAGGGAATTTATCACTATCTCTTGGAGAGTCCAGGATAAGCACTGAGCAGATGTCCATTGAAGCTAGGCTTCTATGGGGACAAGGATTGAGTTAACTATAAAAGAAAGGCACCCCCGATGGGTCTAAGGTACGCAATTTATATTCTGAATAGTGAGTTTAGCACTATTGATTATCTTTGAGAGATATACTGACTTGATCGTCGAAATACCCCCGGGTGGACGAACCACCGCCAGAATCTTCTCTTTCTGTTACAGGTCAACCAGGTGTCATCTATTCTGCCAGTGCTCTCCAGCTGAATACTGAGTTGGAAGTGTGATCAAAAATTGACTCACACAATTTGGCGCCGTATGTGGGAAAGAGAAGAGAATAGATGGCCAGTGACGGACAGAAGGATAAGGTTAGGACGAAATCCCTGCTGGGAGTGGAAAACACGTTGACCCAAATGTGGAAAAAGATGGTCGCAATGAGGAGACTCAGAACCAGAATCACGGCAAGAAAGACGTCGGCTAGGATGGCGACGTGCCAAAGAAACCAGATCAAAGCGGATACTACAACGAGGACGACCTCCAGGTATGGAAGGATAGATGCCTGAGGAGGGACGAAGAAGTGAAAGAGATGGCAAACAAGTTGGCAGACCTGCAATCGGTTGTCAATTTTATAATGCAAAGTAATGTCATGCAGCCACCATACCCGCTACAAGACACGCCGATTCCGGCGGCCAATGCCCAGAAGGGAGGGTAGAAGCCAATCCCAATAGCCCCTCAGCACACCAGAAGCGAAAAACACTCTTACCGACCTTCCAGGGAAGTCAGGCGAGGAGAGTCGAGGAGAAAAGAGTCACGATGGACACATCGCACTAAAGAAGCAGATCCAAGAGAACATCGGCACGTTCAAAGGCAGGAGCTGTGCTTCGACACAACTCATGGAGAAAGGTCGCAAAGGGCCCACAACGAAGCTGAGAGTAGCATACCGAAAAGACTGAAGTCGAGAGATAACCGAGCTCCTGGGCGAACAAATGAGGACTTGAGAGATTACCTCAAGAGGAAGCAACAGAATGCCGATGTCGAGGTAACCTCCCCTGATAAGCCGAGAACACCATTCTCGATGGAATTGGACAAATTTGAGGCGCTGAAAAGATTCAGTATGCCAAGGTTCCAAATATACGATGGTAAGTCAGACCCCAACTTTCACATTGGATTATACTTAAACTCAATAGCATTGTCTAGTGGGAACGAGCCGTTGCTCTTCAAAGTGTTCCCCTCATCGTTCGGGGAGACTGCATCAGATTGGTTTCACAAACTACCGAAGAGAAGCATGAAGACCTAGGAAGGCCTAGCCGAGATGATTGTGGCCAGGTTCGTGACAAACAAGCTGCAGCCATTAAGGGTGGATGCATTGATGGCTCTGAAGATCAGTAAGGATGAAGGCCTTAGGACCTATGCAAAAAGGTACTATGAGGTGTTCAACCGAATACCAGAGTGTAATCAAGAGGTGGCGGTCGTATCTTTTAAGAACGGCCTAAAAGACGACTGTCCATTACGAAAATCTTTGGTAAAGATATTGCCAAAAAGCATGGAAGAGCTCATGGCTAGAATCGAGAAGTATACCAGAGCTGAGGAAGATACATCAGGGACTAAGGAGGTAAGCAAGAAAAAGGAAACGGCTCGCCGAAGCGAGGCCGAGGTAACAACGGATGCAGCAAGCAAGAGATAGGACTGAGGGCTACTCATGCAGTTACGACTGTGTTCCGGATCCCAATTCACAAAGTCCTGGACAAAATTCGGAGCCAACCCTATTTAAGAGCACCAGCGAGGGCACCTGGAGAGTTTATGAGAAGAAACCTTGGCAGACATTGTGCTTACCACAATGAAGATGGACACATGACTCAGGGTTGTAGAGCCCTGAAAACACACTTAGAAGACCTGGTGAGGCAAGGCCATTTGAGAGACCTTGTCGATGAGGCCAGGACAAGGGAAGAACAGGCAAGATTGCCTCAGGCGACGGCAGCTCCGCCTCCCCCAGCACAGCAACCTCAGGCAGGAGGACCTTGGGTAATTAATGAAATTCACTCGAAAGTCAACAAAAACGAGATTCGGGGGGTGACCCAAAAGGTAAAAAACCTACAGCATGTCTACCAAGTCGGGGAGAAGAGACATCGTCCCGAAGAGTGCCAAGGACCAGTAGTGTCCTTTACTGAAGCCAACCTTGAGATGGTGCAGCATCCACATAACGATGCCTTGGTAGTATCCCTCCAGGTTGGGGAATGCCAAGTGAAATGCATCTTAATCGACCAAGACAGCTCTTGTGACATCATGTACGTCAAATGTTACAAGGAGCTTGGCCTTCACCCAGACGATATGGAGCAATCCAATAGCCCAATGGTTGGGTTCAATGGAACGCCGACATGGCCACTGGAAACGACGAGCTTAGAGGTGCAGGCTAGCACCAAGAAGATAAAGACAGAGTTCACCGTAATCGACACACACTCCCCTTACAATATCATCTTGGGAAGGCCGTGGTTACATGCGATGCGGGCTGTTCCCTCAACATTGCATCAACTATTGCGGTTCCCAACAAAACATGGGATAGAGGAGATCAGAGGAGATCAGCTGCAGGCAAAAAATTGCTCCATGGCAGCAATGAAATCCACTTACAGCATACGAGAACCAGAGAAGGCAGAGATCGAAGGCGAAGACGGAGAAGTCCTAGAGGATGTCGGCAAGGAGCTAGCTGAGAAGAGTGAAAAAACACTGAAGAAAATCCTCGTCCAGGAGGGGGATAAAGAACGCTTCTTTCTTCTCGGCTCGGGCTTAGCTGAAGAAGAGGAAAAAGAGTTTGAAGCTTTTTTGAGAGCAAATATTGAGATGTTTGCTTGGACGCCTTACGAAATGCCTGGCATTGACCCCGAGGTCACTTGCCATAAACTGAATGTTAATAGGTCGACAAAACCCGTAATCCAACGAGCAAGAAGACAGACGTTAATACACGTCGAAGCAGTGGAAGAGGAAGTAGACAGACTTCTGGAGGCCAGGGCCATTCGAGAGGTAAATTACTCGACATGGCTATCAAACACAGTGGTGGTGAAGAAAAAGAATGGTAAATGGAGGGTCTGCATGGACTTTACTAGCCTGAACAAGGCCTGTCCCAAAGACAGTTTTCCTCTACCCAAGATTGACCAGCTGGTAGACACCACTTCGGGGCATGGAAGGATGAGCTTCCTGGATGCCTACAGGGGATACCATCAGATAGCCATGCATCCCCCAGATAAGGAGAAGACTGCGTTTATCACCCCAAAAGGTCTGTACTGCTACAAAGTGATGCCTTTTGGGTTGAAAAACGCAGGAGTAACTTACCAAAGACTGGTAACCAAGATGTTCAAACACCTGATTGGCGGAACGGTGGAAGTTTACATCGATGACATGGTCGTGAAGACCAAGGAACCTAAAGGTCATCTAGCCGACCTGAAAGCAGTCTTTGACATCCTTAAAACATATCGGCTCCGACTCAATGCAGCGAAGTGTGCATTTGGAGTGGGATACCTGGTGACTAGAAGGGGTATTGAGGCCAGCTTAGATCAAATTAAGGCCATCCTGGAATTGAAGAGCCCAACGTCGGTAAAACAGGTACAAATGTTGACTGGAAGGGCCGTAACCCTAAATAGGCTCATAAGCAGAAGCTCAGACAAGTGCAAACCTTTCTTCAACTTAGTGAAGAAAGCCACATATTTTTTATGGACAGAAAAATGCGAGGTCGCCCTGGCCAACTTGAAAAAGTATTTGACCACAGCTCCAGTTCTTTCAAATCTAGAACCTGTGAAGGAGTTGTTTTTGTACTTAGCAGTCTCAGAACACGCAGTAAGCACAGTGGTAATCCGAGAAGAAAAAGGAGAGCAAAGGGTTGTTTACTATGTAAGCAAAACCCTGGCCGATGCAGAAACAAGGTATCTACCCTTAGAGAAATTGGCACT